ATAAGCCTATTCCTTATTCTCGAAAACAGTGTTAGATAGATGAAAGACGAGATCAGATATGAAAACTTTACGAGCTGGAAGCTCGATTAATTATATACAAACATACGATGCAAATTTAAAGTCACATTATTTCAATTCAAAACTTTTCCCTGAAAGCAGTTAATAGATGACCGGGACGACTCTATTGTTAATTAAAGGAAAAGTATAATGTATTAAGAAATATATGCTATACACCTCAAAGTGTTCCATAAATATAAAGATACTAATAGATTCCATATAAAATCATTCACACTGGAAACTTTGCTTGAACTTTCACAAATGCACATAAAAAATTATAACCATTTATTGAGACAGAAAAAATAAGCGATAATTTTTTAGAATTACAATCAATTTAACTGTCTAAAAATATAAAGGCATAAGCCTCTGAAACAATGACATAATGATAAATTGGATTTAACAATAACCTAATATCTAATGAAGCCTCTTTTGGCTAAATTAACTTTATAAATGCGGTCAGGCAACGATTATATGAGTTTTGAAGGAAAGACATGCTTATTTCTTTCTAGTGACGAATCGTGGCTTGTTTTACTTACTCCATACTATTATATTGCTGCCCATTTGCGTCTGTAGCCGGCATCCCTAAAGATTTTCCATCAGATTAAGATCAGAAGATAGAGCTGGTCAATCAATAATAGGCACTCCATTAACTAAAAACCATTCGTACATAGAGTTTGAGTTTGCTGTGCGAATGAAGATTGTGTTATGGAAAGATCCATCGATTCCCAGCAATACGTTTTGCAAACGACAAGAAATTGCTCCAAAAAAATGTTTTGATAATCATTTGTTTTTGTACGCCTTTGTAAAAGCAGAAAGCTGAGTGTTTCCTTTTCAACTAAAACTCCACAAAACACTAACAACGCTAGATACGAAATCAAAAAGAACTCAAAATAAAAATAAACGAAAATAATAATGATAAAGAAAATGGTTTGAACACCTAAAAATTACGAAAATAAAATCAGAAAAAAGAATAAATGACAATATTATAGGCTTAAAAATGCACGATTTATGATACCCCTTTTTCACCAATTGGAGGAGCAATTAAGCAGAATTACAGTGATATGTAAGTGAGTATTAAATCAATAAAAAGTAAGGAAAATTACAAATATCATTAAAGAGCGAAATGTTGTAATAGCTCAGGTAAATGAGAATTGTTAAGAGAGAAATAATATTTTTTTTTTTAAGTCTTGTGTCTTTTAGAATATACAATCTGTATTTTACTAATAACAGGTTTTTTCTTTTTTAAAAAATATTGTTGTTGTAACTTGTAACTCGAAAAGTATCTAGTTTAAAACTGGAGAGGGATAGACGTCTTAAATCATTTTTAATAAAGTATAACAGCTAAAAAAGTCTCTTGGGGTCCAATTGAAAGTATTTCCCAAAAGGTGTGATAAGACTTCAGATTGGAAACAAATATAAGTTTAATAACATTAAATTTCAATAGGACAAGAAGTAAATTTCAGAACTAAAACCATTTTACACCATAACTGAGCTACCACCTTGTCGTTCGGAATATAGTTCTTGCCTTCTTTCTCGAATCATGCTAGTAGTGGCTCCAACCATCTGGACCATCAATGTTGAATTTTTTCTCGTCACTCCAGATAATTTCTTTTCACGTGTCTATCTAGCTCATTTTTCTTTAGCCTATAGTAAATGTTTCTCCTTGTGAATAGGCTTTAGTGATGGGACTTATATACAAGATGCTGGCACGTCTGCACAAGTTTTCCAATAATTGATTGACCAAGATTGCACTCTTGCGTTGCTGCTAACTTCCAAGGTGATGTTTTGTTGCTGGCAATCTGGCGAACAATGGCTCGTTTTATTCTGTTTGTAAGATATGAAGGGCGTCCTGTTGATTTCTTTTGGCCATACTGATCTTCAAGTTTAACAAAGTTGTCAATTACAGTTAATGACAGATTTAATTGTTTTAGCAAGTGCTCATGCAGAGTAACTTTTACCTATAGAAACAAGAATTTTACCTTTTTCTGTACGTTAGAGGTTTTCCTCGTCCCATTGTTAAATTAGGGATTATAATCAACTACAGTCATTTTTAATAGTTTCTGCTGGGTTAATGTTGACCTCTGGTAAAGTTAAACTTTCAGAATGAAGCAGTTCTATAAATTTAAATTAATTACTAATAAAATATTAAATTTATTATTTAAGATATTTACTCAAATATATTGAATTTGTTTTTGTGAGATTAACACCTCGCTTCAATTCTTCAAAAACTGTGATGTTAATTCATCGCAGTTAACAACGTTTTATTTTTAAAAAATTGTAAATGTGAATGATACTATCGAAATCTTAACAGAGCTGTAGACTATGCCCATATGAGCAAAACGGTCAAAGAAACCATACCTATATATATAACCCTTCGCGTAATATACGCCCTCAAATCAGCCTATTTCTGAGCGCGATCGGAAATCACGCAGTGCTCTTCGCTAAATCTATCGCGTATTTAACAGACAGTCCAGCACGGTGTCAGACATTCTAACGATATTTATGGGTAAAGAATAAAAAAAATCTAACGTGCCACCCTTTACGAGAAATTCGCCTTCAAATGTGGAACCCCTATGGCGACAGTTCCAATCGCCATTTTGCTCATCAGTGACCGCGTGGATAAAACCACTGAACTCTGGATCGTGGGTTCGTGCCTCTCCAATGGGCTGGCCACGTGGAGTTTTCGGGGTTTTCTTCACGTCAGTAACGCCTAAATAGGACCCAGTTTCCCATAAAAGTCCTCCCGGGAGGCATTTCCTCGGAAGATCGCCAATGTTCTGCGTTGCCTTAATCGAATCCAATCACCATTCTTGCTTGCGGGTGTCATGTTTGCAAGCAGGCTATGATATAGACACGGCGCTCATTCTCAATGCTCTGCGTTAGTCAAGGCTCGCTATTTCTCGAGATGCTTTGACCGACACTCCTCAGGCACGGTGGGGACGAGTTCCCACATCCCCTAAAAGTATATAACATCAATTACTCCGCGAACATTCAAGTGGACTATTTAAAAGCCAGCATACTCGCGTGGCTAAATAATTAAACGCGATAGTTTTAGCAGAGCATGCAGTGTGACTCGGTATGGTTCCTTTGCCTTTTCGCTTCTATGAATATGGTCTACAGCTTTGTTAAGGTGATAACAGTTTCATTTATATCTGCAATTGTACCAGTATTTTAAATAATAAACTTAATATTTTATTACAAATTAATCTAAATTTATAGAATTATTCAATTCTGGAATTTTACTTTATGTTTGCAACAAATTTTATTATAGTTTTCTGATGATAAATTTAAATTTTGTTGTCATAAAGGATACGTGAAATAAACTTTAATAAAGTCAGTAAATCTTAAGTGTATGCTTTAAATATTTGTAAATTGGCGTGTAATTTAAATTGTAAGGCATTTTTTTTCTATGTTATATGTATATAGATACACCTTATTTTCTTAAAAATTTTTAATCCATTGTAATTAAAATGTTGAAAGAAGTTATAAAACAAATGTAGTATTTACATTTCGTATAAAATTATTACTTTTAAGCATAAAATGACGTCAATTGATCTTACAGTACATAGGAAAAAAATATCTAAACAGTATACTAATTTATCTTATGTAATTAATTATGTTTTTAATAAAATAAGAATTTTATATCATATCGACATAATATAAATCATTATTATTTTTTCGTTTCGATATTTCAATGTAAGTGTTTATGGTTTAGTAATCTTTTCTATGTTAGAATTTTCAGTCATAGTGTTATAGATATTCTGAAAATAATCCCCTTTTTTTCCAGACAAGCTGAAAGAGATGCTGGAATTAGTTCCACATTCTCTTTTCAACAGTTATCTGTTGCAGACAAAAACATTTCCTTGCGTATTTTCTAACGTGAATTGGACTGTAACCAATAAGTTTATATGTATAGACAAAGGTGCTTGCTCTTAACACATGTTTTAAACATTACAATATTTTTCTGTATAATATTAACGATATTTAAATTAAAAGTGTATTAATTTATTGAATTCAAGTTATTTTATGTATTTTAAATTTATTTAAATTTTTTACTTTTTTGAATTTTTATTGGTAAGAATTTATCATTATTTAATATTGAATTTCTTTTGTAAATAACTCGTGTTAGTTTACGTATCCAATTTTAAAAAATCCATCAAAGAGTTATGTAACTTTCTCGGTCAAACTTTATAAGAGTGTTTGGCACCATCTTTATAACCTTTTTTATATTATTAATTATTATAAAATGGGGGAAAAAAGAATATTTTAAATGCATTTTTTGACGTTTCAAGTTGTCCTGAGACCAAAAATGTAATAATCTTGAGGGGTTTTGACCGAACATTTCTTAAAGACGAACAGAGGGAATTGGACTTATAAAAAAAAGATGAAGCAGTTTCGTTGTTTTTACCATCTTTATAACCTTTTTTATATTATTAATTATTATAAAATGGGGGAAAAAAGAATATTTTAAATGCATTTTTTGACGTTTCAAGTTGTCCTGAGACCAAAAATGTAATAATCTTGAGGGGTTTTGACCGAACATTTCTTAAAGACGAACAGAGGGAATTGGACTTATAAAAAAAAGATGAAGCAGTTTCGTTGTTTTTGTTGATTATTGTTCTTACTATTCCTACATATACAGTATATATATTTATGTTATGGACCAAGTGATTAATACGGGCATCACGAATAATGCCCTATTAATCACTTGGTCCATAACATATATAACTTATATATTTGAAGGGGTCCCGCGGTTGCTAGCGGCGGTTCTGGTCACTGGTGGCCAGATTTAATTATTGAATATATTTCTAAATATTTTATTTATTTGCGTAGAAAATATATAATAAATTAAATAACAATTGTAAAGAAACAAATAAATTTAGAGATATTTTTAGATTTGGATTATGATTAATTTATAAATTTTTTTTACTTTATTTAATTAGGTGCCATATTCGAAGAACATTATGAATATTTGCAATGGGCTTTCAGATTAGCCGTCGATCAAATAAATAGCAATGAAAGTATTATTATGAATATGAGAAATATGAAATTGAGGGCGTCCATTGCTGTAGTTAAAAAGAACGATGGATTTTTCTCAGCTAAGAAAGGTAATGTAAAAGAAACTAACTAATACAATACTTAAGTAATAGATAAAATTATTTAATTATTTTCAATCTTTCTTTTTATATTCTTTAGCTTGTGAAATGATAAGTGATGGAGTAGTGGCCATTTTTGGTCCTCAGTCTGTGCGTGCTACATCATCCGTTCAATCTATAACGGAGTCTGCAGGCATACCTCTACTTATAAACCGTTGGGAATATCGCACTAAACCCAGTGATACTACTGTATTTTTGCATCCCCACGCCGATACAAAAGGGTTTGCATTTAGAGATTTTATTGAGGCCAAACAATGGAAAACGTTTGCCATTATATATCAAGATCCGAAAGGTTCGTTATTTAGTTTCTTTAACGATGATTTAATGCATAAAGATATAATTAAATTATACAAAAATATTGACAAGTTGATGATTTTAAATTTTATTGTAAGATAAACTGTAGTAATAAGTATCCTACATTGATTTAAGCTGTGTTTGTATGACACAGCTTAACTCAGTTAATGTAATACAAAAGATGCAAACAGATCCATTATCTTAATACGAATCCGCCACTATAATAGGCAAGGTTGTTAAATTAAAAAATATATACTGTATATATTAAAAATAATTAAAAAGGAGGCCATTTTGAAATAAGAATTTATCTTATTGTTTATATTTTAATAATTTTGTTGTAAAATCGGGAATTTGTTTGTACCTTTGTTTTATACAGTTTAATATGTAACAATTGTATAACAACTGAAGAGAGACGATATGAGTCCGAAATGCATTTTGTTAAAGGTACTTAAAAAGAATAAAAAGAGTTATAATATACAGTAGTCCTGTTACATTTGGGGAAAAACAGCACTATTGGATTACTGAAATACAGTAATAATTTAATGTTTGGACAATTTTTTCGCTTAATCTAACAGTGAGTAGATAGGTGGCCATTTTGGTTAATTTGGTCGAAGTTTATTATCTGGGACCATCATGGCCGCCCTTCCGGAATCTCGAACAACACAGGCGCGATTAGAAATGGTCAGTAGGCCGGTCAATGGCCGTGACATTTGATGTTAGGGAAGCTGTGTTTCTATAAGAAGCCGACTTCCAGGGGCAATCGGTTAATTCTTTCTTTAAATGTATTTTTATAGATTATTTATCTGACATAATAAATAAACAAGTTCAATATAATTACCTCTGTTATTAGATCCAATATATTCCATACGCCCTCTAAATGCCAATTCTTGCTTTGATAAAAACATAGCATCTATTTATTTAGATTTAATATATTTATAAACCGTAACTATCTCGTTATAATTTTCAATATTTATTTTATATTATTTACTAATGTTAAATTCTATTCCGCTTCGATTTCCAAATTGCTTCAAATACGAAAGAATCGACGATTTTTCGTGTCTTTTGCCAGCTAAATTGTCAAAGACATTCTTATTCCACACACTAATTTCACTCTGTAAATGCATTTTTATGCATTTACAGAGCCATTTTATCGTGAAAATATCGAACAAATTTTTTTATTGAAGCGTTTATATTTAACTTAGGCATTGGCCTTTCTCTTTTAATAATGTTTTCTTTTTCATTATACGATCTCGAGCCAAAACTTTTTTAAAATAAATTTTCAATATCGCAATTACATTCCGAATCGCTAGCCACGATATAAGGGCTACAATTAAAAATAAAATTATAAAAACTTACTCGATGAAATAAAATGTGTGGTGGATATACGAGTACATACCTGGTACAAAACATTCTTCAATTGTACGAATATACAGTACTTTTAAAGAAAATTATAATTAAATATAGCTTTGTAATGAAACGTACATAAAAATAACATAAAATATTCTTTACTCTTTAAATCTTAACCACTTAGTCAAACAGCTCCCTACGAGTGGAACGAGACAGTCCTGCTAGATGTGTGGTGCGTACATGCACGCGGGCTACCAAATCCCGAGGGTGCCCATACCGGTTAATGTCAAATGTCTCTTTTGTTGCATCACTAATATACCTCAAAAGACGCGACAGGGTTGTTGTAAATTTTAAACGTTTCTCACCATAGCTGTAAAAGTCTAAATATGTAAAACTTAATAGATTGTCCGTCGTTTGTTTTCTAATTAATTCGTTTTACGACCAGGTGTTGTCCACGGAAATTTCCAAAATTTACAACTTTTCGGTCACTCTCGTTGAACTGGAAAAATTTCTCTCTTTATTACATGTAATATTTCGAAGAAATCAGTCCCACTGTACTCGGCTAGAGATTGGGTCGATTAAGCTTTTAAGCAATATTCCAACTCTTTCAGCAGGGTTATATTTATGTCCTCAATTCCATAATCGCTTAATTATTTAACTACTTCTTAAGTAGAAATAAGTCGAAACCGATTACTTTTACTCGAATATTTGTAGTCTCGAGAAAAAGTGGAAAGACAAATTTTTATGACAAACGGATACATGAATCGTAAATTTAAGGAAAATAAATTCTAGAGCTTTTTCTGTACCTCGTGCATCTCTCTCATTCATTAAATTTAGTTGTAATTAAAATTAATATGTATTTATTTTTTTTAGAAAATACAAGGGAAGCGGCGCATCCACCGCTTCTAATGACGGCACGCCACTGGTGTGTACATATGCAAATAGGTTATCTTATGACGTAAATGTGTACGTGTGAGAAATTATGCAAATTTGTTCGTGCAGGTGGTAGGTGTGTAAGTCGTTAAAAGTTATTGTTGAATTTATTTGAGTGAGTTTAGTTATTAATTTGTTTTTTTTTTTGATAATGGAATTTAAGAATTGGACCACTGTGAATTTCATTCGTTATTTGTTATCTGATTTTTCTGAATTATGTCTGAATGTAAGAATTCCATCAGACGTAAAATTTGCAATTAAATTAGGCCTTCAAACAGCCGAAACTGTGTTAAATGTAATGGCAAGTATAAAATTTGTTTCAGAAATGATGCAAATTGTGTTAGTTTTCGATGCCCGAAATGTGACTAAAATGTCTGTTTATGAGGGGACATTTAAAGGGAAATGTGGCAATTTATACTAGTCAAGTATTCTTTCCTTTATATGGCATTTAATCTGTATTGACTGTTCGTTGAAATCCGCTTGGTTGGCCGTAGATATAAGTAAAAGAACTGCCGTTGATTGGACAAATTACATTAGACACGCAATGATGGTTTCGTTGAGTAATTTAAGTAATACGAAAATTGGAGGACCGGGAAAGACCGTAGAGATAGATGAGACTACGGTTTGCAAAAGGAAATATGAGAAAGGTCGGCAATTGAAAGATACGAAATGGATTGTAGGTGGTATTTGTAGGGAGGACAGAAAATGTTTCGTGTGTTACGTTAATGATCGATTAGAGGAGAGTCTTAATTGGGCTGTGATTAGGTTTATACATTCAGGAAGTATTATACGTACAGACGAGAGGAAGGGGTATAATAGGATTGATTATTTGGAAGAAATTGAAATACAACAGGAAACAGTGAAACATGCTGAAAATTTTGTAAATCCTGTTACTGGGGTTCATACCCAAATTATTAAAAGATTGTGGCGATGTTTGAAAAACAGAAAAAAACATGCCATCTCATTACACAGAGAAATTGTGCGATTCTTATTCATATGCTTTTATGTATAAAAAGTTAATGAAATGGGAACAACTGCGACCAGGAGAAATATTTCAAATATTTACACAACACATAAGCAGAATCTATCCAAGAGCAGGACGTTTGCCGATATGGAAGGAACCTGTAACTGTTCCCGCTGCTCCAGAAGCGAAAATCAAGAAGGACAAATTTTGTAAGAGGAGGAAGAATGACAATTACACCGAAGAAAAATCGAAGAAATTAAAGAAGCAGAACGTCGTTACCAACATTCGTGAATCTGAAATTAGTTCTAAAAATCGGATTACAGTTGATGAATGAAGGATAATAATGGTAAGTAGTATTTAATTGATTCATTTTTATTTATATGNAATGACAATTACACCGAAGAAAAATCGAAGAAATTAAAGAAGCAGAACGTCGTTACCAACATTCGTGAATCTGAAATTAGTTCTAAAAATCGGATTACAGTTGATGAATGAAGGATAATAATGGTAAGTAGTATTTAATTGATTCATTTTTATTTATATTTAGTTACGGGTTAGCGGGACTCCGGTTAAAAAACACAACCTATTTCGATGATTGCAAATTTTTATTTGTAGTCTTAAATCTGTAGTTGCACTTGATAGTATATTAGAATAAGTTAGGTTAGTTTATTGTGTGAACGCGTTAGGTAGGGTAGTCACATGATCGCGCATCGCTTCCGACGGACGTCGTTGGGAGCGAGAGTACACTCAACCGGAAGGGCGGCCATGATGGTCCCAGATCGTAAACTTCGACCGGATAGGGCCATAATTAAACAATGCTCAGTGCTCAGAGTATAAACCATTTAATTGTGAAATTAATCGTACCAACGTTTTTAATTATAAAAAGCTATTAAAAATTATTAATAAAACTCGGACAAAGCGATTTGAAACAAATAAGACGGTTGCTTTGGCAAAATACTAGGGTTTCTCAAACGCGATCCCGGTTGTTTTTTAACCTGGGAAATATCCCGGGAAATCCCGCAAATTTCTTAAAAGTTCACTTTTTTCTTATTTTGTGTTGAGGAAATTTTGCAAATACAAAGGGTTAATGTCCAGATACGTGGACTGTCATGGCGGCACTTCCTGTTTCAGTTTCGAAACCGGACTGGTTTGGAGACGACATGTCACGTGACGACGCGAGCGAACGACGGCGGCTGCTGCTGCGCCGCGGCAGCGTCGGCGGCTGTCATGGCGCCTCATCGCTGATTCCAGCAAACAAAAGGAAACAATGGGGACGCACGTTCTAACCTAACCTAATATAATTGGTAATAATTATGCTGATTTATTAGAATAGGTTAGGTTAGGTTAGAACGTGCGTCCCCACTGTTTCCTTTTCTTTTCTTTGCCAGAATCAGAGGTGAGCCGCTATGATAATCCACGTGTCTGGACTTTAAACAAGAAAAAAGAAAAGGAAACAGTGGGGACGCACGTTCTAACCTAACCTAACCTATTCTAATAAATCAGCATAATTATTACCAATTATATTATTAGATTAGGTTAGGTTAGGTTGGGTTAGAACGTGCGTCCCCACTGTTTCCTTTTCTTTTCCGGAATCAGAGATGAGCCGCCATGACAGTCTACGTATATGGACGTTAACCCGCGCGTCGGTTTTCCCCGTTTATCGCGGCGCAGAAGCCGCCGCCGTTCGCTCGCGTCGTCACGTGACATGTCGTCTCCAAACCGGTCCGGTTTCGAGGCTGAAACAGGAACTGCCG